TGTATTGAAATTATTTACACCCACCAAATAGTAGTAATTTAGGTTTAAGAGAGTGTCTCAAATAATCAAGAATTAAAAACTTAAAATTGAAAATTTCAAATTTGAATATTGAAATAAGTGGAAAATAATTAAGAAAAATAATATTTTTTTTATTTTTTTATACATTCGATGTACTAAAAAATAATAATAATTTAAACCTATATTTTCAATATAGTTGTCATCACCCTTAATTATCACTTGAGCTAACCCCAACAAGGTAAATGGGAGTAATTTTTTGTCATTGGTTGAAGCCTTCAAAGGTAATGAAAGAACTGTATGCTAAAACCTCCCATTTATAGACTTGACAAAAGGAGAATGGATAAATAGCTTTAAGGCAAATCAAGATACAAATATTGACTTATCTCTAGAAAGGATCAAATTCTAATATGATTGATTTTAATAGGTTAAATACCTTTTTTGTTACCTTTACTATTGATAAAAGCCCCTTTTGGTCCCTGTACAGGAAAAAATCCTTTTATGGCCCTTAAAGTTTAAAATCCGGCCCCTTTTTGGTCCCTCCGTTAATTATTTGCCAAGCTGTCACGTTAATTAACAGAATTACTTAATTATTTTTTAAATAACTAATATCATAAATGACGTGAAAATTATAAGGAGAAAATTATAAATTCAAGCAACATTTCATCTAAAAATTTTAGACCATGTGTACAAATTAAAAATTTTCTTTTTTAATTATGAATTTAAACATAATTAACTTTAATTTTTTCATCTTCTTCTTTCTCCACATTCTTATCCTCGTCCTCACCTCACCTTCATCCTCGAGCATCATCATGTGACTGTTTATCTTCACCATCCTCTTCATCATCTTCACCATCCCCTTCACCATGCTCTTCATCATTATCGGTTCCTCGGGATTCCGCGAGGAACCTAAATCTAGGTTCCTCGAAGAACCCAATTTTTGGGTTCCTCGCGAAACCCAAGTTTTGGATCCATTACAGAAACTCAAATCATGTTTGATATTTGGGCTTGAAGCTGCATAAGATAGACTTATGTTGCTATGAACTTCATAACTTGGTGCATTCATGATTTAGATTCCATAGGAATAAAGGGTTAAGAGTCTAATATTTGGGAGGGAGTAAAGAGAATAATCTGTTTTGCAAAGGAGAAGTTAGGGTTTATTAATGAAAATATTCCTATGGATTCTTA